GTGTTGAGATACTTTGTATAATAAACTAAAATAGTAATAATTAATGTTAAAGACACTTTATATATCAGGAATTTTTCCATGGCCTGGAAATCAAAAGAGTTGTCCAGGCAAAAATACATGATTAATGATGGATATAAAGAAATAGCATAGGAATGTAAGAATAAAATTGATGACTCTGAATAACAAAATAAGTTTCAGTTTACAAAGCAGAAGAAAAGAATCAGTGAAAAGATCCAAAAGTCTGAGTAAGAAGAGGCACAAAGGGATAGGTCCATTACCTAGATGTTATTAAATAAGAAAGGAGAACAAGTAACAGACTTTCAAAGACTGATTCTTTACTTCAGAAATTGTAAAAGAGATATATTGTGACCTACTCCTTTCATAAAATTAATCTTATACAGGAAATAAGAGTGGAACCAAAGCACAGAAAGAATAGCCTAAGGAATCTTAATATAGATGTGCTCAAGTGGCAAATCCTAATAAAATTCATCCTAGAATGATTGAGGAATTAGGCACCACTGATTTTATTTATTTATTTAATATCCCAGAGGGTGAAAATAGCCAGCAGAATGGGTTTGTACATGCCTGTTTTTGTGCCTGTTTATTCTTCTGTTAAGAGAATTATTGAAGCTGTCAGTTTTGATTACAGATAAAGGTTTAGGAGTAAATAGTTTAGCAATTAATTTGTATCTAATAATGGGTAGAAGAGAGATTGTAAAACAGCCAGTATGATTTGATGAGACCTGTTTGTAAGAAACCTCAGTCTGTTTCTCCTCTTAAAAAGGATCACAAGTTTAGGAAGAGGAAAACTTTAAGTAAAATACAGCTTGATTTTAACAAAGTCTTTTTCCCTACATAGACAAACTAAGGAAATGTAATATCAATCCTATCTCCATTAGATGCTGATATTATCAGCATCACGTTGAAAAGTTGCCTCTACTGAGTAATTATCTATAGTGCCCTGTCAAGATGAAAAGACATTAATGAGTTGGATGATGGAGAGAACACATACTTAGAAATGTTACTCAGGATAGTAGCCAGAGAGGGGTTTAAAATTAGTTTGTTTTTTTTTACTTTGTTTTCAACATAAGATATGAATCCAAAAAACTCTTGATGGGTTTGGAGAAAATATTGAAAATCAACAAGATGAAAAGCAATGCAGGCAAGTATGAAGCACTGCATTTAACAGGACAAACTCAAATACATGAATCGAAAACAGGAAATAATTATTCAGAGAGAAAAGTGACAGAAAAAGATAAGATATACTAGACCTCAAGGTAAATTCTAATATGCTGCTGGAAAAGAGTAAAGTTGTTTATTTGTGGGGTTTGTTTGGATTTTTTTGTTTGGTTTGGTTTTTCTGGAGGATCATACCAGGCATCTTGTAGGAAAGAGGATATTGTCTAGTTTGGCAAATCTTCTGTGCGTAGTTGGCCCCCTCACATGCCTTGCTGCTTTTTGCTCTTGAGAAGGTGCAATAAAATGGAAATTCCTCTCTGTTGTTGTTACTGTTTTCTGCTGTGGAATGAAAAGCATCCTTCTTTGTAATAAAGATGCTTTAGATTGGACATGAGAAAAAGATTCTTTGTAATTATTAGAGTGATAAAACACTGGAGAACAAACTACTTAGAAAAACTGTGGAATTAGCTTTCTTGGTAGTTAAACACCTGTCAATATATTCCTGAGCCTGTGTTTGTGCTGAGGTAGGATTTGGTAGTCCCTTGTGGTCTATTCCATCCCTGCATAAGTATAATGCTCTGAATACATGTTTTGGCTGCACGAAAGAGATCATCTAAAAGAGTTGGAGCAGTAAGGAACAAAGTTATTTTTGTCATTTAGTAAATATATTTTTATTTGGTTTCCCAAAAAGGCGTTTTTACAAATCATGAAGTTATTTTGAGGCTTTTGCATATAGACTCATTTTTCTTTTAATGATTATGCTAGAAAAGCAGGAAATGCAATTGCAGTAGTTCTGAGATAGTGGAAACCCCTTGATTACTTATCCACAGTGGAATAGTCCTGTGGAAAAAATGGCACCCAAGAGGTTACTTGGATTTGTATATTTCTGCAGGCAGAGTTTACAGACCTGTAAATTTAAATGTAGAATTTTTGTAGGCAGAATGCATTGACAGATGTCCGTGATGGTAATACATCTCATACTGATAGTTCCAGAAGAGGTCAATAATAATGCTTATATTGATAGCAGCAATGCAGGAGATGTTACTTGGTATTATAGCTAAAATCCATGTTATCACCTTAATTATAATTACATTAATATTGACAGGCTGTTGACAATACTCACATTACTATTGATAGATTTCTGTCAATAACATGTTTCCAAATAAAAGATATTCATTCATAATTTGTACAATGCTCAATAACAGCACTAATACATATCAGCAGAAATTCCTCTTTCCCTAGTGATATACAACCATTATTTTTTTTGTTTCGCAATGTACTGTACAACTGTTTATTTTTTTAGTTAAAAAAAATCAAAACAGACAAAATATAGGTTTTTTAAGAAAGAATCATATTAGTTTTCTGATTTTTTTTTTTCTGGGAGGCCATTCAATTTTTTTCTATGCAATATCTGTGACAGTATAAAATCAACAGAGAACCTTTCAAGTAGTAGTCTTTACTATTCTGTCTTAAAATGTATTTATATAATAAGTTAATCACACATAGAGTTTATCATATATTTGAATGTTGATACTTGTCTCTTTCATTACTGGGTCTATGATTCTGAGTTCTTAGGTTTTAAACTACTTAAAATAAGAGAGTTAAAACAGTAAGGATTTGACAATTCCTTATGTCCAATTGGAATTTCTTGTGTAGCGACTTAACACACAGTTGTCTCTCTTTCTTTCACTTCATCTCACAGAAAAGTTTGACTTAATCTTCACTGCAGCCCTTAGGTAGTGGAAGATTACTCATAGATCACTTCTTAGATGCCTTATCTTCAAGTTGAACAATCAAGCTCTTCTCATATATCAGGTCTTGGGGGTCCTTGATGGTATTAGTGACTGGGCTCTTCAGTTTGCTGACATTTCTTTTGTACTGTTGATAGAAATGAGGCAAAACTGGAGGTATTATCCCAGGTGTAGACTCAACAATGCCAAGCATAATAAGCACATCCTCCAGTCTGCTGGCTATACCCATGCTAATACACTGCAAGGATGCACTGGTGACTTGTGTTCAGCTTTTTGCCTACCAGAATCCTTGCATCCTTTTTTCAAAGTGGGTATACAGTCATAGAGGCTCCCAGCCTATAAGGATCAATTGACTTTCTTGTGTATTTCATGATCCATCATAATCCTATGTATTTGACACTTTTTCCTTGGATTTCAGAAAGTTCCTGATGACCATTCCTCACTTGCTCAGGTTTCTTTAGAAAATATGGCTATAATGGGGGGAAAAAAATCTCTACAGATTTAGTCTACCTTACTTAAGAGAAATCTGCAACAGAAATTTCTCACAGCACGTGGGATAATGGAAGACAGCTGGAAAAGATGGTTGAACTGATGCTGGAAAATCGTCTTAGTAAATGGATCAAGGAAGTTGTTTGATAAGATGTCCCTTTCGAGTAACTTCAGGATTTTTGAAGGAGATTTTGTGTATTGGGAATTGTATAGAACACTGAAACAAGTTGAACTGAGTGAAATGAGTAGAAGAGAAAATGAAGAAGACATTAGACTTCTAGGGGTTATGAGTGAATAATACTAAACCAGAGTGACAGGTTCCAGAGCAAATGGTTATAAGAGGCTCTGGTTCCTAAAATGGTAGTGGGGTAAGATGAGTGGGTAGAAGGATGGATAATCATTAGCACTCAAGCTCTTGAAGTGATAACAGTAAGATCTAGTAGGGGTTGAATTGACCCTTTGATCATAAAGGGTCAAAGGAGTGAAGTTATTTGAGTAGCACTGAAAAGTGTTTCCTGTGCTTTGGTTCCTGCTACAGAACAGTGTGAGTGAGACAGGCTTGGGTGTACAGCCTTTGTATGCTGGCTTTTCATCCTGTCTGAGTTGATGCAATGAACCCCAAAGCTGTTTGTCCAGAGGAGGTGGCCTTGTGCTACTTTCAGCCCTATTTTGCCTGCTAATGAGGAAGGAGAAGTTTAAAGGGGTTTTCTGTAAACTAGGTCTCTGTGTCAAGTGTTTTAGTGAAATGCTTTTCTTGGTTGTATTTTACTCCTGTAAAACCTTTTGCCAAAATGTCTTATTTCTGTCACTAAATTAAAAGAAATTCTCTTAATGAAAACGTAGTAGCGTTTTCTCCGCACGTGAAGTCGAGGTAATAATGAACCAAAAGGCTTTTTAAAAGTCTTAAATAAATGTAGCTACTCTGGGCAGCTTGTGGCTTAAAATCCAGAGTGTAACAGGCGTTATCTGTATTTTGCTATTGCAGTTGGATGCATTTATTTTCTTAGTCACAGAATTCCAGATACAATAACATTTAAAGGAAGCAATTTTAAAAAAGTAAATCCTAAATTTGTTAGTATTTCTAAGATTATACTTTCAGGTGCAGCTACTGAAGTGTTCATGTTAGTATATTTTCTGTCCTCCCCACTATTCTTTTCTAGATTTTTAGTTAATGTGTTCCTTTTCCCAATTTTTCCATACAACACCATAAAATTTTACAGTTCTTTCTGATCTATTTTAATGTCCAGTTGAATATTAGAGTTATACCCTGCAATATTTTTTTAAATGTATACAGTGAAATACTAAATTGGTGGATTTTTCTAAATATCTAGATGTTGAACACTTCTCTGTAATCAAATCCAAATATTATTTATGAGAAACAGTAAAATATAATTTCTTTTGAGTTGAAATTTCTAACTGTTAATGCAAAGCTTCTTGAAAGGATTTGTAACATTAATAACAAATAATAGCATTCTGAATATATTTATTTACTGCTGGTATATTACAATTTTGTTATCTTTAATAAAAAGAGAAATAAGAAATGCTCCATTACACTGACATCTATTTGTGTTTTATTCCTAGAAAGTTTTTTCTCTGAAGAAATGGCCTCCAGCACTGGAAATGAAAAGGGCGTGAATCCTGTGCTCAGAATAAGTCAACTTGATGCTCTTGAACTAAACAAAGCCCTGGAACATCTCGTGTGGTCCCAGTTTACCAACTGTTTTCATGGATTTAAACCAGGGGTGTTGGCTCACTTTGAACCAGAAGTAAAAGCATTTTTATGTCTTATATTATGGAGATTCACTATCTATTCCAAGAATGCAACTGTGGGACAGAGTATTCTGAATATTCAGTACAAGAATAACTTATCTCAGACAGAGAAATACCAACCTCTGAGCAAACAACAAAAGTTATGGTATCTTATTTTCACTGTTGGTGGAAGATGGTTGGAAGAAAGATGTTATGATTTATTTAGCAATCGTCAACAACAATCTTTCTCCAAAATTAAGAGCTATATTAGCTTTGGAGCTGGACTTCTAAAACTTTGTGGAGTTCTAAATTTTCTGATTTTTCTTCGGAAGGGAACATTTGCAACACTTACAGAACGCATTCTAGGCATTAGGTCAGTTTTTTGCAAGCCGCAAAGTGTTCGTCAGGTAGGATTTGAATACATGAATAGGGAGCTCTTATGGCATGGCTTTGCTGAATTTCTGATTTATCTACTGCCACTTATTAATGTACAGAAACTGAAACTTAAAATTTCTTCTTGGTGTTTGCCTATTGCAGGTCTTTCCAATAGTGAAAACACATTAGCAAGCCACTGCAGGGAATGTTCACTGTGTGGGGAATGGCCTACCATGCCTCATACCATAGGCTGTCCACATGTTTTTTGTTACTACTGTATTAAAAGTAACTACTTATTTGATATGTATTTTACGTGTCCTAAATGTGGCTCAGAGGTACACACTCTTCAACCACTGAAGTATAAAATGGAAATGACAGAGTTGCATGTCTGATATGCGGTTGATTTTGTTTTATACAATACATGAAATATATTGAAGAGATTAATGGAAGAATTCAGAGGCTATTGGAAGCTTAAAGATGGTTTTGGAGACTCTGTAATTTGTCGTAACATATATTTTTCCTGCTCTTAGGTCTTTTATTGAGTAACAGTTCTGTGATGCCCCGTCTGCTTGGCGGGTTTAGGGGAAGGTGGTTGGATTTACTCCAGGCGGTGCATGGGAGAAACAACAAAATTCTCAGGAGGTTCAATAACAACTTTTGCTTGCAAACTGTAGAACATTCTGACTGAATAAGGTACTTGACAGACTTAAACTTGATAATCTTTAACTCATCCAGACACAACAAGGCACTTTAATAAGGCATCGACTGGAACCTTTTGGTCTGGCTTACAATATATTTTGAGGAGAAGAAGGTAGGAGAAGAGAGAGGAAGGTAGGTTATCACCACCCTAGGATGCAGTGTAGTCTCAGCAACTTTTAAATCCAGAAGTCCTGCTGTTGAGTCACGAGGTGCAGAAAGTATCCAACCTTAGCTTCGGATTTTGTGAGCAGTTTAAATTGAAGGAATTATAGAGGTGTGATGGAACCACTTTTGTCCTGCCGGTTTTAATGATGGCAAACCAAGAATGTTTATATAAAATGAATCATTTATTATTACAAATGATCAGACAAAGATCTTAACCAGAATTATTTACTATACAATATAAATGCTAAAACTACTAGTAGTATAGTATAAGATAGGACAGCGCTCTGTATTGAAGCCATTCTTGAAGCAATTATATTACGGGTAGCAAAAAGAAATAATTATAAAGTAGAGATTTAATGTAACTCAGCCATACCAACGCTGGTGGGGAGATCTCTTTTGCTCAACTTGGAGGAATATCCTTGGGGGGCATCCCCAGCCCGAGGGAGGAATCTCTGCACATACACTCAAGAAGAGTTATGTTAGAAGAACCTGACTCTAAGAAAGGGGACTGGACTTTTATAGTATAAAAGTGATTGACTGCTAGTCGCAAATTTGCAGGCCAGCTACCAGCTTATCTGTCACATCCAACTTTAAAAAGCAGGATTTGTGTTTGGAATATGGTGAACCAGGCTGGTTTTAGCATAATTCAACACCAAAAACATTACCATGGCACCACTGGTAACTCATCACAGATAGCTTGCATTGTTTGCATTCTCTGATCAGATTCTGGGCCTTATCAGGGTAGGCCCTACTGCCACATGCATGTGTCACCATCCTTTTATCTGTTCTGGTCTGCTGGGGCCCTTCCCCAGGTGAGTTGATGCTGATTTCAGAACTGAAGTCTCGTGGGTGTGTTTGCACAGCCCCAGAGTTGTTCCTGGTGGGTCCATGCGGTCGACTGCCCCTGTTACCATGTGGATGGGTGGCTGACTTCCTAAAGTCACTGTGCACCGCAGTGTGAGAAGACTCAAGGGGGAGCAGTGCACAACCCTCCTACTCAGAGCTCTCCTTCTTCCCCCACTGCTTCCCACCTGGTTGTTTTGACCCAGTCAGCCATTCCTCTGGTGTCCTACAAGTGCCAGCTTGGCTCTGAAGCAAAGAAAACAAGTTTAACAGCTCTACTACTCTCTCTCAGACTACTTGATCCCAGTTTAGTACCCCTGTGTTGTCAAATCCTTTTTTTTTAGATCTAGGTTATCAGCCTGCCACTTCTTCACTGCATATTATATCCTTCCCTCAAAGACAGAGAGGACACCCAGTAAGCTGTTACCCATTTTGTGTATTTTCTCAAGCTTGTTGTAAAAGTTTGTGCCATTACTAACTTAGCTAGTAGATGGATTAGTGGAACAGTCATTCTTTTTGTGCCTAAAGAATAATTTTAAATTTGTTTATTTATTATTCCCAGTGTGGTGTTTCACTAAAAAAAAGGAGAAGATGTAAGATGAATTGTCATTTCAGCAGATTTTGAGTTTTCATCATGTTCAACTACCATGACAGGATACAATACTAACTCAAAATTGTTTTCTTGTTAATAGACCATATACTTTGTGATACAGCTGGTAGATAGGTAAATACCCCATAGTTAACATGTGCCTACAGGAGATATAACCAACTCTGGTGCAAATACGGTGCACCTTCATGAGTTGACTGAACTAGTTTCCTCAGGCAGCTGTGTCTCTGATCTTCAGTGACATATATATGACCTTCCACTTCCCTACAAAGTTGAGGGATGAAGTCCATCATTCACTGGAATGTAGCAGCTGCCAAGGGTAACTTGCACTCTTCTGAGTCTGAGACACTGGAGAAAACTGTTTACTCACAAGATGCTGTCTGTGGGAATTGACACTCTTCTTTTTTTTGATGTGATCAAGGTGGATGCCAAATCTCACTAACAGTTCACCTCCACACAGAAAAAAAGTTCAAACACAGTTTATGTGCATGTTAATGCATTAAAATAGGTAGCTTTCCTGCTCTTTGCTTTCACTATTTGGTTTCTTATTTGGCTTTGCAATGGTGTTACTGTTCTAATACTTTATCCTTTTATTCTTCAACCTGGTTTTATAAGATTATTTTTTGTAGTTCTTTTTTAACAGGAAGTCTTACCCAGAAGAGTCTCATTAACACAAAAATACATTTCATCCTCTTTTGACTCTTACATTTTCAAAAACTTATACAGATGATTTGAGTAAATAACTTTATGGTGGCTGTGTTCTTGATTGGCTATCATCAGTAGTCAGTCCCAAAAATACTATGGCAACGACTGATCCAGTATCTTTGATCTACTTTTATGAAATGAGTTATTACATTCTACATTCTACGTTCTGATTAAAACAACCCACCAGCCTATTTGTTTGAAGATCTTAAATTCTAGGTTTTGATCTTTAGAGTGACACACTTCGCTTTCATCTGATGCAATTAAATATAGTTTGCGAGTTTGTAACTATCTTTGGGCATCCCAAAACTTCATTAATTCTGCTACTGTTCTGTGAGTCAACAGAGACTTCAGAGCAATTGCTTCCACATAGTGTGTCGCAATGTTATTAGCCGTCAAATGTGTATATTAGCAGCCTGCCATATTTCTGTTATTTGCTGTTGCAATTGGAAACAGCAGGAGCAAATCTGTCTCCAGTAGAAGAATCAAAACTGGCAAGACAGTTGGAGAGTATCCTGGATTCACTTCCTGATCCTGAAGACATTTTGTGTGAATTGTCCCTCCACATCACTTAATACCTTTTCCCGAAGAAATGTATTAGCAATCATGACTTCGAGGTGGTCTAGTGTCTCCAGAAAGTATCATCCGCATTTCTGCTACCTCTGTCTTTAATAATCCTTAATTAAGATCTTTTTGCATCCAAAATCCAGTGTTTGTAGCTTAGAATCATAGTAGACCTTTGTTTGCTGTGAACTCTCTTTATTCTGAAATTGAAGTCACAGTGCAATATTTTGTCAAAGGAGCATTGATTCTCTATAGTGGCCTCTATTAGGTGTCATGTCCTTCTTAGATAGGAGTTAGCTTCTTTCCTATTTAGAAATGTTTAATTTTTCAGAATATTTAAAGAATGTTATCTTCCTTTTTCATTTCACCTTTCTCTGTCCTGCTGTTTGATTTTCCTAATCTGTATGAATTTCTTGAGGTTTGTTTTGTCTCTTGCAGCTTCATGCAAGTACACTGTCAGTACAAAACCTGTTTCCAGCAGTTCAGTACCTCTGTTGTACAGCTATTTTTTGCCAGCTGTGCTGTGTTGCATTTGACTTCACTGTTTTTCTTCTGGAAGTGAACTTTTGATACTTAACTTCTGATGACTTATTATACCAGAGCATTGGCCTGCTAATGTAGCACCTCCTCATCACTGTGTTGGCTTTGTAGCCCATAGAATTGACCAGGTTTGTAAAGTCTGTTTCTTGTGTCATAACCAAACAGTTTCTTACCATAAGATCCTAGATCTTAAGGTGGGGGTTTAGTTCTTTTATTTCCCATGCAGGTAAGCAGATACCAGGCATCTCACAGTAGTAGGTTTGGGAAGAGAGTGGTTCTTTTAGTCAGATAAAGAATTATTTAATTTTTTTTAATCTACCATATGGTGAAACCTTTGCTCAGTTTAGTCACAGCTGAGATTGACGAGACCAAGGTTCCAATTTACATATTGAAAAACTACTTGCAGCAAGTTAGCTTTTTAGGACTTCAATATTCAGCATCTTCCTTATAGCCCTTGAAAATTAAATATATACCTTTTTTTATATTGTAATTCTGTTTTGTTGTGTCTTGTGATATATAAGCTGCAGAAAAGGCTTACTTGAAGATATTACAGGAAAAAAAATCAGATAATTTTTAGACTAATCAAGGGATAATTAGTTTTATATACTACTATATCTGGCAATGCTTCCTGCAGTAGAGGGAATAAAATTTATTTTGGAATGTTAATCTCTAAACAAAAGGGTTTTAGTGTTCAGCTACCATGAGAATGTACTTCTGAGTAGTCATTGGTGAAAAGGATAAATGCCTAGAATTTAAGGAAGCTAAAGGACCAGAACTTTTATTCAGTCTTGGATAGGAGTTACAGCCTTGTATTACCAGTTTTCTTTGTGCTCTGTTGTTCATCTTTGTGTGCTGCATGAATATTTTAATTGTATCAAAAATCAGAAAATAAAGTGGTAACTGAAACATCGATTATATTATAAATATACTTGAAAACTTTTCTTCATTTGAATGAGAATTACCAGTTGCCACAGTGTGATTCAGGACACATTCAGCTGGAAGCAGTCAGAGAATGCTGATTCCTTGCTTCCACAAGCTACCACCACTCCTTATACTCTATACGCTTTAAGTAATATTTAAGTAATGTTATACAAGACTTAAAAGCAGTATTTTCTGTAAAAATATTCTGTAAAAAAATGAGAACGATAGCATCTGATTTCTGCATTACCTGGAAATATTTAATTTTTCCATAAATGATGGGCAAAGATGATCTCAATGAAGAGAAGATGTGAAGAAACATAAGAGATATATATTTCCTAAAAATCTAATGAATGTCCTTATTTGAGAATACTACTACAATTGTTATCTGGGATGTAGCATTCATATGAAATCCAAGTTGACAAATAAATTATACTTTTTTAACAGGAGGTTCTGAAGTTTGCCTTTTTCTTTTGAAGGGTAGTTATGCTTACTCAATGGGTGATTTCATACTTTGGTATTTATGAGACTAAAATGCAAAGTGAGAAACTAGTTTAGAGTTCACTTTAAAATTTTATTCAGTTTAAGGTTCCAAAGCTTTTTAATATTTTTTCTTGTGAGCAGACTAGTCATAGCAACAAATTATCAACCATTACACTTTACTGTGTGTTTGCTAGGAAGCTGTCTTGGCTTGTTCTAAGAAGAGATTATTGTGACATGACTGGATACAGGATAAGGTCACATGCTTACTGCCACGATAGTAAAGTCGATGGTCATTTACTTTTAATAACAAAATTATGGTAGCCTGGGATACTGCAACTCACAGTGAATACAACCAAAACCAGGGAGCAGTTTCAAAATGGTGTTTCCACCCGTTATGCATTCCCAGGAAAAACTCTTAGTAGAATTGGTTGAGTAGATTCCAGCTGCCTGCCTTCCACCTCCCAGGAGAACTTTCCATGCTGACAACATCAAAACATCCACCTGAATTGTTACCGCAGTCTTAAGTTTCCACCATTCCAGGGGAGTCCTTCCAAGGCCGGAGCTGGCACAAGCCTGGCAAGGTGACCAAATAGATGTCACTTAGAGAAAAGACAGTTGTGGGCAGGATCCCTCTCAGGCTGGGAAACTGAGACCAGATGACTCACAAACGTGCACAGGCATAATTGTAGAGCATCTGCTGAGGCCAACTAGTCATCTTTTCTGTTCTCTGGAGCACACCTGGAGTTTTGGACCTCTGTTCAAACTGTCTGCATTTTGTATGCAGTGAACAGACCTATTTTAGATAGGAAGTGTGGCCAGTCGTGCAACAGCAAGTAAAGGTAGTTCTATATCTTGAAGGCAGTTTTTAATAAGTACAATGTCCTTAGCTGAATCCTGAGAACAGCTACTTCTTAGAGAACAAACTGGTGGAAAGTATGGTAAAGTTGGCCAGTGTGCTACGATTCATCTCGAATCTATGTCGGGGACAAATTTCAAGGATATTTCAGGGAACAAAAGGTTGTCAGTCTGGTGCATGCTCTGCATTAGGCTATGTTGGAAGAGCTGTAATGGGGAACTAATGAGAGCATGTTGCAGTAGGTCCGGAGAGGGGGATAGGCTGACTCTTCTGCCATTTTCTGTGTCCATTGCAACCTTCTGTCTAACCTCTGACTGCAGACCTGCTAAGTGTTATTAAGCTGACCGAAGTGTCCTTTCATTCCCCTAGCTTTTAGTCACTTGCCAATAGCTGCTGTGCCATCTTGGTGAAAGATATTACCTAAGTAGTCTTTTCTGTGCCAAGGAAATAACCCAAGACAGCATCTCCAAATTGTACAATTGGGAAGGATACCTCTGGTGCAATAACTGTGTCAAGGATATTCCTTGGAGATACATTGTCTTAATGGAAGAAATGAGTCACAGCTTATAGGTTCAGTAGAAGTCTTGAGGCAAATACACCTGATTCCCTAACAAGGCTGCTAGCCTGCCCGTGTAGTTAGTTCTCTTGTTTGTGGCCTGAAGACAGGAGGCAGAAAGGATCAGGGTTTTCTGCCTAGGGGCAGGGTAGTCCCTGGGCCACTAGGAGAGTGCCTACTGCAGCAGGCAAAGACAGTAGGTTGTGTTTGTGGCAGTATTGACTCTTACATGGGAGGCTAATTAAGCTCTTAATATGCTTTTGCACTGATGAAGATTTCGGTCATCTTCACGTTGGTAAGTTCCTCATATGAGGGACCGCTGTAGCCAGTTATAATATCCACAAATTAGTGTCATGTAATAAAATAAAAGGTTTTGTGATGTGAATGCAATATTTATTGATAACTCCTAACTCCAGCCTCTCTTGATGCATGTTCCTACCTAAGATTGTGGATCCTATGGATTGCCCCCATCTAATGAAGTCACATGATTCAAAGAGCAGATAATTGCCATCGCTTCAGGTTGGCTTCCACAACAGGCTCTGACCATCTCTATGAATGCTACACTACCAATAATAATGACCAATCCCTGATTTGTTCCATATTAACCCAAAAGATCAGTATTGGGCAAAACTGGAGGCAGTTGAGGGGTGCTGGACACAGGAATCAGAGCTCTAGAGGAATGTGGCTCCAGGGTAAACAGGATGGGGATTTCAAAGAGGGCCTTTTCCATGCAAAAACTATGTACTCACTGCTGTTCATTCCATACACAGAGGGCAGAATGGTCCCAGTGTGGTGAATGGTATTTCTGCTCCAAAAGCAACACTTGAATGGCCAGAGCATGCTGCAAATGCAAGCATGAGGTGGGCAATTCGCCAAGTGGCACAGCTCCTATTAGACACATTGAGGAAAAAAGGGTAACAATTCAGTTGTACTTGGTTGGTTGTCTCCAGGTGTAAGCAGACCTGGCTGTTGCAGAAGGTGTAGATGGACCTGCAGCGTGCCTTCTCAGTTCCATCCTTTTCACAATCCCTGTGACCAATAGCAGCAACAGCAGGCACCGTGCAACAATTTGAAAGGTGATAGATGAGTGGCAAGGCACAAAGCAGTGCAGGTTGCTCATTGCATCATTGCTTAGTGCCACAAAAACTCATCTTCATAAAAATATACTAAATTGATCCAAGAAAAAATGGTACATTAACCATACTTGCAGAACCAATATAGATGTCAGGACGAGATTAGAAGTATGAAGAAAATGGCACTTGAAGTTTTTCACATACACAGCAAAACAGCTTTTGCTAAAGAAATGCAAAATGCATTACTCATTAAAAATAGATATCTGCACATTTCCAGTCACCTACAGCTATTCCTGGAAATATATGACAGGGTCCAAAAAGAAATGACATTCAAACAGTGAATGAAGTGTCTCAAGATTCTAAAAGTAATTACAAGATTATAGCAGTCAAACCCAACTTTTTGAATGTAAAAATAAAACAATTATTTTGGTTAAATTCTCAAAATTAGCTCCACTAATTCATTTGCGGGCATACAACTCTCTTTAAGATACATATGATTGTGAAAAGTTATTATTCACATTGAAATGGTCAGTTCTTACCCCTGAGCTATCATTTTACCTCATGCTTAAAAGATTTTGTTAGAGAGGGGACATGCAAGGAAAAGCATGCAGTTGATTTTCCATGATTACAGAGAGACATTGCCTCCTTTTTGAGGAATTGCTCATGAGCATAATGTTTTAGATCTACTTTTTGAAGTAGATTTTTTGGTAAAAGTATTCATTTTATTTTAAGATATGTTAACAAAGGTAACAGTGTTGATATTGTCCCTGCTTTGTTTTTTTTTCTTGTAAGACCTTACAAAATGGATGGAATTTTTAATTCTGTTATAGATGTAAAAGCCCCTTTTTAACATTTTGTAAGTAGATGATATTCTGTTAGTGACTGCCTTTTCAGTAATGTGGTGGTCTAAATTCTGAATTCTATTATTTTACATCTACAGCAACTGAAAGTATATTTTTTATAAACAGCAAACTTCACCTCATAAAAATTCATTACATAAGGGCATAAACAAGTACTTTTCCTTCCAGTCATTGGCAGTAAGTGATTCATCAGTTTTCCACAGAAAACCAATTTCATTGCAGATGTTCTGCAGACTCCCTGAATTGTAGAATCGTATCATCCAATCCCAGCACAAGGAAGGTAGGAATTTTTTTAAAAAAGGGAGGGGGGAAGACTGTGCTTAGTCTTTTTAATAGGATTGAATATCATTTGCTGTCTCATCAGTTTTGTGAAATAACCATAAAGTAATCAGCTTGCCATTCTTTCCTTTTCTGTACAGGCTATCAACTTACAATGCTGATTTCATAGCAAGTACATGTAAGTGAGTAACTTGAAGGAGAGAAAAATCTTCCTTTGAGGTTAAACAAAATGTAACTAGGTTACATAGTTGTCTTTTCTTCATTCTTTCTTTCTTCCCTCCTTCATTCCTTTCTTTCTTGCTTGCTTAATACTTCAAAATATAGAAATTTCCCATAGTAATCAGCCACTAATTTTCTTTGTCTAACAGACTTGCCTTTTTTTTCCTTTGTAAAAATTTTTTAATTAAAGTTTACTTTTAAAAGAATTAGTAATTAACTATTAATTTAATTCTGGTTTTTCACAATGGGCACAAAATAAAGGATGGACCTAAAAACTACTCTTTGCAAGTGTATGCAATTTTGTTTCATTCTATTCTGTATAGCGTATAGAGTCCACCCTAATGCATTTCCATTGCATTAAGTTATGTAGATACAGAATTCAATTCTGATAGCTGAAGGAGGGAAAGGAGACAAAGGAATATATTGAGGTGAAGGTGAAAAGGGATGGAGGAAGTCTGAAGCAGAGAAACCAAAACACTAACTGACAAGCTGCAGGAATCAGAAAGAAAATTTATTTTCCAATTGGAAGAATTAATTTCATCAATAACTCCAAGATGGGGTTGAATTTAGCCCTTAGAGAAGAACCTGATAGTAGCAAAATACCCAGATTAAGTCAACAAGTAAATGTTGTTTTATACTGCTTTAAGTCTTGCTGGTAAGTCTCCTGTTTCCCATTTTGTTTTCCATTGCTACTCTTCTTAGCATAGAGAGAACATTTCTCCAAGTGTCTGTGAATCAATGAACTAAAACCAGAGCAAGATCCGGTCTTAGAATCATAGAATCAAAGAATCACTTAGTTTGAACAAGACCTCTAGAATCATCAAATCCAACCATTGCTCTAGCACTGCCAAGTCCACTGTCAAACCATGTCCCTAAGTACCACATCTGCACGTCTTTTAGACATCTCCAGAGATGACTCAGCCACTTCCCTGGGCAGCCCCTTCCAATGCTTGACAATCCTTTCTATGAAGAACGTTTTCCTAATACCTAATCTAAACTTCCCCTCGTGCAACTCGAGACCATTTCCTCTCATCCTATCACTTGTTGCTTGAGAGAAGAAACCGACTCCTACCTCGCTACAGCTTCTTTTCAGGTAGTTGTAGAGAGCAAAAACGTCACCCCT